ATCGATTTCCTAAAACCTTGCTACCAGCTAAATATTGAGGCTTTCAAATGTCCCGGCCATAAGTAGCCAAATAATTAGCATGTTGAATCGTAGGAGCATGTTGTACCTTCAGGGAACATGGAAAATCCATGTGTAGCTATTGGATCTGCTGGTGTGAAGGTTTTGTCCTGAAAAAGAAAACTCATTCCTTAATGGATCCTTTTTTGTATTCATCCATCCCTAAACCTACTAACTACCCTTCAGATGTTTTAATGGACAGGTTTTCATCAACATTTACCAGTTTCTATTCTAAAGAAACAGATTTTAATATAATTACATTATTTTAGTGCTGAGACAGGTAGGTTAGGTTATGCAGAATGGTATACTTAGTATATCTTCAGAAATTCGTGCAGGTGAAATCATTAAAGTCACATGTCCTAAAGCTTCGTTCCGAGAATCATTTGCCCATGGCTGACACTGACTGTAAATTATAGAGAGACACTGTATGACTTCATAAACATCCACATAAATCTGATGAATCACAAAAATGAGTCGTTTTCCTACTAGCTGTCTTTAGATGACACTAGCAGAAGAATGTATATTCAAACCTCCATCGTGTGTGAAACCAGCGTATACCTGTGCCTTAATGGGTGCAGGAAACATGACTAAATAGTCTCGCTGTATCCGTCTTGACGATGAAAACAATGGTGAGCGCCTAGAGAAAAGCTTATAAAGGTATTTGTTGTTGAATAAAGACTGGTTCTCTTGTAGCCCTAACTCGAAAGAAATACTTGGTAATCTGTGGCCGGTCATAACCGTCAGTGAAATTCTCGAATTTTATCTACGTGATTAATGTCGTCAGGATGCTTACAATTAATTTTCACAAATTCCTGGTGCTTTGTTGCTAAATCAATCTAAGTTTTGGAGGTCCTATTCACCTTTTCCCATCTTTCAAATTCTGAGCATTTTCAACTTCTATTTCCATTTCTTGTTGTGTTCCCCTCTTGCCTTAGTACTGTTCCATCTTCTTCACTCCCTTTGTCTGTGCCACTGTGTGTTGTTACTACCTGAGGTAATATGTTTTGGTATAAACCCCTTACGCTGATACCCCAACTGATTACGACCCTTTATTTGAAAGTTGAGTGTACTAAGTCACAACTGCACTTGTGAGGTTGCTGTTTCTCATATTCTGTCTAATCTATTTGAGAAAGTCTGTCAATCTACGCAGATGTAGAGCAAGTAGATGTCATGACTTTTAATTAATTAGACCATACTTTTATCTTGAACTACTGTATGCGTTATAGAGTTTTCATCCATTGTGATACCCGTCGTTTACAATGAATTTCGGTCGAAAAGATTTAACTCACATTCAAAGAATTATTTGTAACAACTTGAGGTTGTGAAACAGACTGTTGGGTGATTGCAATTCATACGATTAGAAGCTTATCAGATATCTTCATTTCCAGTTTTTGTTGTTTAAACGTCAGGAAGGAAGAGATTATTGAATCCAATAATGTCTCATTCCTTTTGTGGGTGGGCCTTACGAAACTTTAGTGAGATGTTACATTTAAGATTTTTAACTAACCAGTGGTGAAGATATTGTCCCTTGGTACGGATAAGCAAACCATGCTTTAATGATGATTTCCTGAAATAAATAACATTAGTTTAACGTCAACCAGATGGCTCATTGCTATTTGTTACTGTTTGATTTTTTTGAATAGTGCCAGATAGGACATCAGTAATCTACGGTGTTGACAACTTCCGATTTAAGCCAAATATGATTTTCAATAATGTTTTAGTAGCGCTCTGAATAGTTCCGTTAGTTGGTAAGGCATGTTATCGAGTTAAGTAAACTACCTAGGTAAAACTCTTCATGGAAAATATAATCTAACCAATTGAATGACGTCTATTTTGATGAGTATAGCACTTTAAACTAGTGTAATCATGTGTTCGCGTGTGCGTATATATATATATATATATATATATATATATATATATATATATATATATAGCGGAAAATTTTTACTTCTAAGCTTTTTTCACTGCGCTGTTTGACCAGGTCATTGACTCATTTATCGAGAGGTGAAATATTCAAGTCATGGTTCATGTGATTGATTTTAGCACATAATTTCGAAAAATAAAATGCATATTAAATCCTGCTTTCAAGAATGGTGGGGAATTTAGCGGTATTAAATAATTCAAACCTACACTATTGATATTAAGTGTAGCGCATAGAAAGAATGTGCATTTTAAGTTACTCTGTATATGAGAATAAATGTTTTCTCACTTAAATTGCTTCAAAATAATATTCATTGTTGAGGTAGACAATGAGTAGCCATGCTGGTCATTTGACCATGTTCACAACTGATTTGCACATACTACCTAAGCTATGCATCGCTCACATGGTATTTTCAGCAAATCCAGCAGCACTTCGAAAATGAAGTCATTGTAAATCCATTACTTCTATTGACCATGCTTCAAAACCATTCAAAAGGACAGAGTTTATTACTGCTCGGTAAATTTTTTGCCTAACAGATATCTCTATGACGTCATACCTAGCATAAGTTAGTGAAAACCAGTCAAACACTTGTATTCGTAATGAAAGTTTATCAGTCTCAATTAGTGATCCCTCTATATATTTTTCTGTGTTTATTTGTGAAGAATGAAGTTTTCCACAGCATACATATTAAACGTTTATCTGAAACTGAATATACAGGCAAAATAAGAAATTGGTACATATATGTAAATAAAACTTTGACAAATGTTACCATAAAATCGCATCCTACTGGTGTCTGTACATACCAAAACAATGGTAATCACAATGATTTGTTTGTGTCCAATCAGCTATCAACTGTCTATTCAAACAAGCAGTACCCAACAGAAATGAATAATAAAATATCGATTATTGAAAGCATTTATGTGCGAACTATAGATCCATATGTACACGTAAAGCAGATGATATGCTTCTGAAGACTAAAACTTTTACTATAAAGTTTCCCAAATTTAAAAGTTATCAGCGGAAATAACTTTTATTAAGCGTACATTTAAAAAAAAAGATAGCTAGAACAGATGGTCAACTGTTGTAAGAATTTTTACTCGTTATAGGAATAGCTTTTAGCAGGCATATTTAAAAACACCCATCTGGATTAATAATTCCAACTAATATAAATCTAACGCATAAATTGTAACAACTATTGCAAGAAGAAATCACATATGTTTTTTGTGAGGACGAAAATTAGAAGTGAAAATCAAATTCTGTTCCCTGGTTCATGTGTATTTATTCAGATGTTAAGAAATGCCCCAAAAAGAAACATCATATCTCCTCCTGACTGATATCTATCATATCTAGTGTATAGTCATCCGAAAACAAATACAAACATCTATTGACTTGTTGAATCACATAGAAATTGGAGTTATTGGCGGAAATCGCTTGTTCATGACCTTGGTTAAGCTAGTGATGTCCACTGTCAGTTGTTACGATTGTATATATGTAGATTAAAAGTTTGCAATTTCATTCAAACGGTGTTTAAAGAAACACAGTACACATATATATCGTCAAATGTTTGACTAACACTGTGGTCCCTGAAAGCCCCAAAGTATTTTTTATTCCATAATTTCCCACTTTAACAACATAATTTCGAAAGAACTTGAGGCATATTTTACAGACCGTTAATTAAATATGGTGTGCTTTCATATTGTTTCGTCATCCTATTGTATTACATTTGCTGAGTATGTTGTAACAGGACTAAGTAGTAATGACTACTAATAAGTAGCCCAGTTTAAGAGGGCTCTGTGTGTGTATGTACGTGTTGCACATACCAATGTGGAATACTGCTATGCAACACTCAAGTTTTACTTGTACTTATATCTGTGATTCTGTATTAAATATCCGTAGATTGGGTTTCACTGTTTTTGCCAAATTCATGGTCTTTGAACCTGATTTTTTTTTGCAAAGTATTTGATAACACGTAATGGTAATGTCATCGCTGAAGTGAGTTGATGTTGATGATATGCAGATATATGTCACGATTCAAAAGACAAAGGCAACTCGTAACCTATGTGTGTGCATGTGCACTGGGTCATAAGTCGCATTTATTGTATGGGGATTACTGATACTAAATGGTTGTGTGAACTGCCTTAGTTTTAGCATCCTTCGAATTTATGACACACCAGTTGAGTGTCGAATGCCTGAAAGAAAAATGAACAACTACTGATTAACGTTAAGATGTTTGCAATAGCAGAGTCAAGTTGTTCGTTTTAATGCTAGAACAGCCTGGATATAAATAATTATTTCAAAGGAAATAATTTTGAATTGAAGTCTACGGTAAAGGTGTGTAACCCCGGATACGCTTTTCTTTTGCCGAGTAAACACCGATACAAACTAGTTAACGAAAATTGAAAGGTGTTATGATTACAGATTTCTCTACTCTTAATCATTCTGGAGCTTGGTTCTTGTAAACTTTGGGAAGGGTGCTGATAAAGAACTGATGACTTCCTTGGTGTTGGCTATGAGTGGAATCTAGGAAGCTTGTTTTGTCTTATCTGGGATACATTGGATCAATGTACCTGTACGTAAGACAATGATGATGTTTCCACTGAAACTTGAACCCCACACCCATCTCTTGAAACGCCAAAGAGTTACCTAAAACGTATGAGTTGGACTGCTGCAATTTTTAGGTGAGACGTTCCAATCGTTGTCTTTTGGTATATTTAAGTCTAGCTTTGTGGAGTTGTGAAAAAAAGCCTGTAGTTTGAATCTTCCAGAGTTTTCCACTAACTTTTCAAACTTATTTGGAAAAGTTACGTTTATGTAGTACACAGATAAGCACTTTCATTCGTTTTTCTTTCAATTTTAGCTTGTAATGAATTACCTGAAGGTCTTTTAACTATACGACACACTGAAGTATACTTTTCTATTCTAATTTTTGTGATGCCTTCAAACGTTTTCAAAAAGAATACCCAGTTTGTTTTCATGATATATTATTCAACTTGCAGTTATCTTTCTGATTAGTAGTAAGGTGTTTGTATATGAGTTTAACTGGTATACGAAGTAGCTAAATAAAATTAAATAGGCTTGGTAAGGTGATGTTCCAAAGTTTGATACAAAGTCCACTAGTCATATTACCCTCTCAATATATGATCTTAATTAACCAGATTGGAATATAGTCGCCTTTTTATTGATTTTCTGATTGGCATACAGAATATTACTTCTGAGGTAAGCTTAAATAATTAGCTTATCTGAATTAGTTTACATACAACTTGTTCTGTACTGTTGCCTATTTGGAAAGTTCACTAAGTATAGTTTGTTTAACCTTAACATTGTTTTCAGGGGGACCTGAAATTATAACACTTATTATTCCCAGTGACAGTAATAAGCCTGTTTCAAGTAAATCTAAACCCTGTCCATTATATTTCCTGGATTCTATTTTTAACTGTTAATTGATTTGTTCAGTTAATGTTTCGAATACAGGCCATCTTTATGCGTATTTGGCTAGGATATTTGAGGCTAACAGCCCACTTAAACCATACATGTGAAATGGTGAACTCGTTATTCATGATCATTTTTTTGACCTTGTTTTCTTTTTTTCGGCAGATTATTATTTTTTTTAAAGAAAGCTGTCATTTCTTGTTTTTATTAACCTTCAACAGTGCATATACGCACTGGATGCACTGTGAATAAATTGAAACTTCTTTTTTTGCAACTGTTCATGAGTAAGACCGTAATCATTTAATTGTTGTAAATCTATAAATTGAATTTATTTTGCAGTGCAACCTGAAAACCCATCACTTTTCGTTCAGATTGGCGTTGAACACATATGAATGTTGATTTATATTCCTATTGTCTTGCATTTATCTGTTGGTAGTTGCAGTCTAGGCATTCTTCAGTATCATTACTACCGCATTCTGTTTAGATGTAGGGTGAGTGAAGTTTCAGTTTTAGGCAGATTATTTGATGCTTTTGAAATAGTTCATATGGTCATGACGAACACATTTGTAAGTACTCAAAATTTACTTAAACTCTTAAAATTTAACAGTTTATCTGATTTTGATTTTTAAAAAAATGATGGATTGTAGTATCCAACCAATGAATTTTTGATTCATAGGGTGAAAAACTGAATTTGAAAACAGTAACTTATCCGTTCTTACTAACCATCACCTATATCATGTTGTCAATCAAGGTAGCAGTGTTAGTTCTCATTCAGTGGATTTGAAGTACAATTTATCCCTTGAACTTTGCATTGTTGATCTAGTCAGTTTATCGTAGGTATCAATTTTATTTTTTTTGATTGTTGAATGTCATTCCTATTCATAATCGCAGCAGTTCTTTTTCCTAAATACATTTTAATGCATAACAACATGTTATTGCTCGTTATAATGCGCTCTTCGTCCTATTTGGGACTCGTAAGCAGAATGTACCTGCCTTCCAATAAGCGACGTTGTTCCTACTGGGACTCGAACCCAGGACCTATAGCTTCAGGCGCCAGAGCGTTATCCAGTAGATCACGATAGTCACTTCTTGTACGATGGCTATAGTTTTGATGTCCTTACTTGAAGCAGTCGGTCCCGAGTTCGAGCCCCGATGGGAACAACATCCCCAACTGGGAGGTAGATGCCCCCAGCTGACAAATCCCAAATAGGACTAAATGCGCGTCCTTGGTTTCAGCGCTAGCTACTATCCATCATTAATTCATAACAATATTACTGACAAGAACATATCTGACAGCAATTTGATTAGGGTTAGTTGAAGAAAAGATATTGTTAATATGTTTACATCAATGTGGTTTTGTTGATTGTTCCAACATTTACATTGTATAAGACATGTGTAGTAGCTAGTGCAAATCAAAATTCAGTGAGTTCCATAGTAAAAGTCCAAAGAGACGGTTACAGCGAAGAAAAGTTTTTCTTTTCTACGAAGTCATTTACTATGCCGTATATTCGTGAATATGTGTAACTGACTGACAAAATCAACACAGAACCTCTCACACTTCATAGCAGAACACAAAAGAAAAAGTGGATAGCGAAGGAGTGCTATCAAAACAGACAAAGGTGTGTAAGGGAATAAACAATTGGAAGACAAGGGTTAGTACGAATATTCATGGTTTTGAAGATATCACAGTGGGTGGAATATTCCAGAGTTGTTTCTGACCAGGGGCCAAAATGTATCGACTAGTGAAAGGGAGTTACATAGTACACATATGGGTTAAAAGTTAGAAAAATATCGAGGGCTTATGAAAACCAATAAAAATTTAGTGTCAGTTTCATACTCCTGAAAAGGTTCTTCCTAGCAAGATCGAAACGTTGAGGAATAACACAAAATATTTGTTTATTTTGTTATTTGTTCTAATATACTGCGCTGGGATTAAACCAGTCAAAATGCACCTTACATAATGTATAACTACATAATACAAGATTTATCTTTGACAGTCAAGGTTTTGTGGTAGCTATGACAAAGACAAAGACACAGTGTACCTTTTTTAGACACATAACGCTGGTTTGAACTTCTGAATGACTAGTGCTCCAGCTATATTAAAATTCTTTAATCTCACTCATTTTGAGTGGTTTGATGAAACCCTGAGTTCTCAAGAGCAACTCTGTGGTCAGAGTCCAAAAGATGTTCCGTTATTGAGCTGAAGATGTGTTTCAGTTCTCTTTTTGCCAGTCAGTGTTCTTGAGCTCGTTTTACAAGTACCCGCATGGCATGGTCGATGTACTCAGCTCCCCAGGTGCAAGTAAACTAATATACACCCATCGATGTGGCCCAATAAGTCAGTTTGTTTTTAACACACCGATCAAAAAGTTTCTTGCAGGAGAAAATGATTCGAAGGTTGGCGGTGAAGTATGTTCTGTCTAAGGATCTTGATTGTGGTTTTTTGAGGATATCTCCAGCAAAGTCATTTTGATATGAAGGTTCAGCAAAAGAATCTTTCTCGGGGCTTAATGTATATTTTCAGTTATGGTCTTTGGCTTTGATTTCTTATTTGTGGATCTAGGCAAGGAACCGTTTTGTGCTCGAGTTCTTCGAAGATTTTGTAGTTCTCCATCAACAGTATTCTCAGTATATATTTTCCTGATTCTCAAAAAAGGAATGAAGACAAGATTTCTTTTCCTACTTACATAATGTCGATGTTGTGTGCGTATGTGTGTGCCTTTTCTCTGATAGTCTCCAGCGCATACAGATGTGTTCATGTTCCTGAAGACAACTTTGCATGGCTTTTGTCCTTCTGCGGCCTACTAAATATTTTTCCATACATTTAATTAGAAGTTTTGTAAAGGGCATGAAAAACTTCATTCCGATTACCTTGTTCCTCTGAATACTGATTACATTTAAACAGAAATGTTTTGCTTTCGGAAATATGTTATCTATAAGTTACCTAGTACACTTCAAAATCTATCTTCCGGTTCATTCTGTGAACGGAAAGTAAATATTTCTTGATAGACTACTAAACTGTGAAGTTATAATTACGATCCTTAAATTAATTGGACAGAAAATATCGTTTGTATCTTTTTTTGAACGTTTCTCGTCATTCACGATAAAATAATCGGTATAGACTTTAAAAGAAGAGGGCTTCGAGGATTCCTACACAAATGCCCATTGTATCCTGTTCTGATGGGCTACAGTGTGATTGATTTTTTACGGTTGCCTTTTCCTAGTCTGCATAAGTATTTTCATTGGCTGTTGTGTTAACTTGAACTATGACGTTTTCTTTTCTTTCTGATTGGTTGATGGAAAAGGTCAATATCAAGGTATTTACTTATCGCGCACGGTAATCAATATAGCTGAACCATATATTTCAGAAGTTGCTATGTCACTAAAAACCCACGTTTCAGCTGCGAATAATTTGCATAAGTTTAATTTTCATTTCCTCTTAGACTATCCGTTGTGTTTGCAATCAATCTACATCGAATACTTCACTATCCATCAAACATTTGTCATGAAACAGTCGATGTTCACTTTCCTTATATGATCAGATTGCATGCGAAATGGACATTTGTTTTAACTTTTGCATAGCTTGTAATAACTAACAATGCTTAGCTATATGAAAATCTGCTTATCATCACCCATATGTGTATATAGTAGAGATTTGTAACCCAGGCTACTGATGATAAATGTTTGACATTCTCCAAGCATTGAGGTTTGCTGTTGGACTTTTCATCACTAGGCTATCAACTTTATCAACATTTACTTCATATGGAAGCGAAGCATTTTGACTTGCATGATTGCTTATAAAGGATATTTGTCAATCTTGAGCGTTATTGGCTTGTGCGTAGGAGAATTACCTATCCTTCCTTTTTATCAAACGTTGTCCCTCATAATTGTTTCTATCGTTTGACGTGTGCTGTTGATCTAATGTCTGATTACTCATTTGTCTGATGGATTTCCAGTTGGTTGGTCCCTCCTTATTTGGCCGTATGTCCACGTGTTTTCTGTTGCCATTTGATTGGAGTACTATACTTCCAGAGACTGAGAAGCAAACTACTCAAGCTCTCCAAAGCAGGGGAGAAAGAAACAAAAGTAGACTGGGTAATGAACCTTTCAGCAAGAACTTTATCCACGACAGAATACAATTTACGCCGAAAAAGATTAAACTGCAACGGTAAGAATGCGAATATGTTGGATTTCTTTTCAGCTTTTGAATTTTCACTAAAAACTATAGGAATAACAGCGTAAAACAACAAGGACTAAGGGCAGCTAGTCACACTGTCAGTGAAAATCAAGAGAAAGAAACATCCAGATGGTATAATGTTTTCTAATTTTCACAGAGAATTACTTATCTGCAACTCTAGCCCCGGTTGAATAAGGACGAGCGTTGCTCACGCGAAGAAAAGTGAGATTAGACAAAATGGTAACAGATACTCACACATCATATAATGATAAGAATAAAAGCTCTTGTCACATAAACAAGATTGCTAGTTGCAATTTGAAGACCATATGTATATTGGCTAGTCGATTGACGTCAAAATGCAGTCAATTTAGCAGCTCAATTCCTGGAAAGAATAAAATACTTCAAGATACATAATGAAGTTGTGATTTGAATGCACTTTTCACGTCAGTCACCAGAGATATAGCCTAAGAAATAATGACTACCCTTCTTAACATTAACCAAAATCTTCAAACTTGCTGATTTGAAATTGATTGTCCCGTTGTTTGATAGGAAGGATTCTTGTTTGCCGATTGATAAGTGCTCTTGTCATTGAGTATTTCTTGTGTCTTTTTCACTCAATCCTCTTTTTTCGTGGTGCCTGTTTTCCTCCCTTTTTCTACTGGAAGTATCACAATTTCACTGTCTGGTATAAGTATGTGCCCGTGTTTTCCTCTCACCTGTGCTAAATTGGTGTTTCTTTCTCTTGATTTTCACTGACAGTGTGACTAGCTGCCCTTAGTCCTTGTTGTTTTACGCTGTTATTCCTATAGTTTTTAGTGAAAATTCAAAAGCTGAAAAGAAATCCAACATATTCGCATTCTTACCGTTGCAGTTTAATCTTTTTCGGCGTAAATTGTATTCTGTCGTGGATAAAGTTCTTGCTGAAAGGTTCATTACCCAGTCTACTTTTGTTTCTTTCTCCCCTGCTTTGGAGAGCTTGAGTAGTTTGCTTCTCAGTCTCTGGAAGTATAGTACTCCAATCAAATGGCAACAGAAAACACGTGGACATACGGCCAAATAAGGAGGGACCAACCAACTGGAAATCCATCAGACAAATGAGTAATCAGACATTAGATCAACAGCACACGTCAAACGATAGAAACAATTATGAGGGACAACGTTTGATAAAAAGGAAGGATAGGTAATTCTCCTACGCACAAGCCAATAACGCTCAAGATTGACAAATATCCTTTATAAGCAATCATGCAAGTCAAAATGCTTCGCTTCCATATGAAGTAAATGTTGATAAAGTTGATAGCCTAGTGATGAAAAGTC